GCATCAGAGAGGATCTAAATCTGAAAATTTTCTGAGGGCATGCCCCCCCTCCAATCCACGCTTCACGCACGATCCAACCATGTCCAAAAGTCAACCCCCTCCCTTGCGAAATCCTTTTGACGCCCCTGTATAAAGTTGCCAGTTTATTACAAGGCTCAAACTCTAGAGTACGAGGCCCGATCAGAAAGCAAGTAACCAATTAACTGCTCTTTTTTCTTCATACTTTATTCAATTTCATTGAAATTTTCACAGATAATGTAGAAAATATTAATCTATTAAACAAGACCAAGGACAATGGGTTAGAATCAATTCCATTGTTATTGCTGTTGCTATGGTGACAATTGTTTTGGGTAGGTGGGGCACCCTGTTTTAAGTCGTGTTTGAAGATAATTTATTGAGTTTTCTACATGTTGTCATTCCTCCAAATATATCAAATTTACATGTAAGACTACGTTTTAACTCATAGTCCTTCAAATTAATCACCACCAAAGTCAATGCAGTTGAGGCAATGTTTCACTGTTTCACTCTAAACATGTCATCATTCAATGACTGCAAACTGCCATTGAAAGCTTAATGATAGTTATTGTTATTGATGTCCCATTTAAGAAAATCTACTTGTTGAGATTATTGAGTTCTTCTGAGAAATTGAGGATTTCAGCAAGGGTACATTGACTTAACATGGGAACATACCTGATGGTATCCCCACTCTAAGTCAATGGTCAATGGCATTTTCCCCATGTTCAGTCAATGCACCCTTGCTAAAATCCTCATTTTCTCAGAAGAACAGTTGATTGAGTCTAAACAAGTAGATTCATGTGGGATAGCATTGCTATAATCCATTTTCAAAGGTAAGAATAGGGGTTCTTAAACAGGACATTGGGCTTGCTTTGCAGAACATTTTGTTGGTACTAATAAGTGGTCTCTATCATCATCCAGATTCCATTCCAAATGGGATGACAGGTGATATGCTTTCCTTGGAGAAACAACATTCATCAACAACATTCTGTGGAAGTCTCTCTATGTCTCGTAGACAGAACAGTCCTTACTAGTTATATTGTCATGCAGCAAAGAAATATGGATCAGCATAGGTGGGTCAACAGCAGCCAAATGGAGCAGCCAGTTGCCTTACCTTTCAGCCCTAACAAGTTGCACCGTGATAAATACTGGCATTTGTAGTTTTTCTTTCTGACAATTTAGAGTTAAGAACATCTTTGAGTTCCTGGTAGCTGTTTACCTGATGAATTGGTTATCTCTATACTTTTCAACTGTCTGACATTAGGATGCCGACACAACCAACAAAACTCATGACCATGTACATGCCCCAGAGCCTGTTGATGAATGTACAGGGTGGTCAAAAAATGGAAACCCTACATTTTCCTTATATCTTTGTCATTCTCAAAAATTACTCCCTGATATTTCACACATTTGTACATCATTCAATTTCCTACCACTCTACCATATTTCATGACCATCAGACTGATAGTCACAATTTTACAGCACTTTGAATAACATGCCTCAGGTTTGGCCATCATCGCGCTGTAGACAAAACAGCACAGTTATCAATGACCCGAATGCATTCCTCAGCAGGTATGGCCTGAATGACACGGATGGTCTCAGTTTTGAGGTTTGCAATTGTCCTGAGGTCATTCTCATATACTCTATATCTGCCATATCCCCACAGGTAGGGACATTTTAGACGAGGAGTACAGGTTTCCCGACAGCGCAAAAGTGGCCACTGGGTTATGTTCTTTAATGTGCTGTAAAATGATGTACAAATGTGTTATTGGGAGTTATTTTTTAAAATGACAAAGATATGAGGAAAATGGTGTAAGGGTTTCCATTTTTTTACCACCCTGTATAATAAAGGTTGTTGGGGTCCAGAAAATGACATCAGTGGCTACTTTGTACAACTGCTGGTGCGTTCTCAAAATTGTGTAATCTTGCTTATATGTTTGTGTCAACTCCCTTGCCTGATGCGTGATGGTTAACATTGTTCTTGGGTCCACTGGCTTAACATCAAGAAGTGGGCTGTAGGCAAGTTTTATTGCAGGTTTAATGATGGCACCACTAGTCCTAGCTAACCTAGTATTGTAGCCCCCAAATGATGGTGTCCCTGGTACAGATGTAACACTCTCAATAAATGGTCTAAGAATTAACCCTTATACAACAGGGATGACCTACTTACACTGTCAACAATGAGTTTCTTTCACATTTTAAACGTGTCATCTACCCCCCCCCCTCCTCCTATAAAAGGGTATACATTATAATTTTCTGAAATATTTTAATTTAAAGAACCTATGTATCTTACATAAATAGCTTAGTTTGATAGATAGACTCACAGAATCTGCTGATATTATATTTTTCAATGTTTCACAGTAATAACAGTGATATTTTTCATACATATTAATATTGCTGAATTCAAGGAAGTCTATATTAATTTTCTTTTTCTCTTCAAATAAATAAAATACAAATCTCATATTTTCACACTATCTCTGATATGGGTTAATTTAAAGTCATGAATAATTTCAGATCACAACTTTGTCTAGTTTGCAAAATATGCTTATTAAACATAGTGACCCCTTAAAAATAGGTGGCGCTAGGGTAACAAATCAAGCATATCTCATTAAATTTGTGATTCTATGTAATGAAACAAATTTGACATGTTGTTTAGACTAAATACAGTTTATCTGAATTGGTTAACGTTTTCAACTATACCAACAGCCCTTTAAAAAAAATATTTTGTGAAATGGGCATTTTACAAGGGGCGCCACCTATACAATGCTGTAAAAAAATTTGCCCACCAGTGCCAGTCCGGCACAGTTCTGATTTTGAAAGTGATTAACTTATAGATAAAGAAAATACAAAGATATAGCATACATCCTAGAAGGCAACCAAAAGTTTCAATATGCCATTATTCCGCTGGACTAATTGTTTTCACTGAGTCAATGTTTTCTTTCAATATCGCTGTCCTTTTTCACCCGCTTCTTTGCTTATCTTCGATGGTTGAGATGCCTATATTGAACTTAGTTGAACCAGCTTCTTATCATGAGGAACAACAAGTGTCTTCATATGTTGCTTTACATGTTCTTACGGTGTCCTTTAAGTCTTTTCCTTGTTTTACACAGATTTTAATGCAAAGTCTCTGCTCTTTGATAAGTTCATTCACTATTTTGCTCCACTGTTTGGAAACACCTGCTCAACCAGAATTTTAGTGAAGAAAGTGAGCCTAAAAATTCACCAAATACACGAAAATAAAGCAGGCTCGCCCTGAATATATTGAAATAACAGTGCACGAAGCAAAACAAGAAATGGGTTTGTTATTAAGAAGACTGCTTGATAGTGAAAATGCAGCATACTGGAGAGAATTACTCCAAAATACTTGACATTTTTGGAAAAATTGGCCTTATTAAAATTTTTAATAAATGTCAATTTTTAATTTTCCACTCAAGTTTCACTTGGTTTCTTAAGGTATGCATGAAAGCCACGAACGTATCTTTGTGTACACCTCTTACTTTTAAACACAATTTTTGACACATCTCCATTTTGATTAAAATGGTACTTTTTCTAAACTTATATCTTAATCCTTCTATTTAAACAAAAATAGGTTCAAACTATTTTCTACTAAAGCACCATGAACCTTAATATTCATTACTAGATAGTTTAAAAACAGACAGAGGAATAATTGCTAAACATTCATTCTATTTTCCCTAAATGTCTTTATATAATCTTAACTGCAGTGATCTCCCCAGCATTAAAGCAAGTGGGTGCAGCACCCACCTGAGATTTTGAAAACAGGCTTGCACCCACCTGAAAATCCATTTGCACCCACTTGAAAATGAGAATGATCATGGAAAATGGGCATATTTGTCCAATTTTGGTCTGAATTGTGAATATGAGAATTTTGCACCCACTTGAGAAAAAATCTGTGGAGATCACTGAATTGTAATGTAATTGTAATCAATGTTGATGCTGTATTATGGATTACACTTAATCAATTGAGTCACATCAGACTCCCATCAGGTCTAGTTTAAACTAAAGCTATTTAAAGCTTATAATTACAGCTTTCCTGATTGAACCACCTACTGCTGTAATAACTTATTGCATTTCTATTTTCTAGAACTGTTTAATACAATCTTTTCAACTTTCTCATTTTATTTTAGTCATATTACAACCAACACCATTACTGAATATCTAGACCTGTAACAAGGCATTAACATGCAAAATGTCACCACCTGCCATTTGTCACAGACATAAACTGCCTAATGTTGTTACATGATGCCAAACACCAAACGCAAAAAAAGTTGGAGATTATAGCAATATGTCACTACTTCTGGTGGTGACATTATAATCTCTTTATTGAAATTAAGTAAAAAATTATTTCATCTTGTCTATGGTTTGAGACTCCAATATTCAACTATGATATTTACAATAATGCCCTCTGTATGAATAGGCACCCTGCCATTATGAATGGAACAATAAACTAAAATGGAGTATCATTGATCTTTGGGCTTATGGACAACTCATCCTTGGTCAACTCAACCCTAGATTGGTAACCAGACAACTCATCCCCTACACAACTCATCCTTGGTCGTCGACTCAACCCTAGATTGGTAACCGGACAACTCATCCCCTACACAACTCATCCTTGGACAACTCAACCCTAGATTGGTAACCGGACAACTCATCCCCTACACAGCTCATCCTTGGACAATTCAACCCCTAGACAACTCATCCCATGGTGAACTCATCGCTCTGCATTTTAAGGAAATATTTTTTGAGATTAAATTATCAATTCAGAGGTAAAACAAATATAGTGGCATATAATGTACATTCAAATAAAGTTAACAATAATATTTCAAATAATTCAAGATATATTTATTAAGATGCAGTTTAATAATTCCTTTCTAGTAATACCTTAGACTTCAGCATTTTTTTGTGTTGTCTAGGGTTGAGTTGTCTAGGGGATGAGTTGTCCAGGGGATGAGTTGTCCAGGTGATGATCAGTTGTCCAGGGGATGATCAGCTGTCCAGGGGTTGACTTGTCTAGGGGTTGAGTTATCCATGTATGAGTTGTCTAGGGGATGAGTTGTCTGGTTATCAATCTTTGCATGGCAGCTTTTATGATGAGTCTCAAGCAGCCATTTTCTATTAAATGCCTTCTCACACAAAGTACACTTAAATGGCTTCTCGCCAGTATGGATCATAACATGTCTTCCAAGCTCTGCCTTAGACCTGAATCCGCCCCTAAGGCACAAATCACACTTATATCTAATTTTACTCCTTTTACTTTGTTTTGAATTGCTCTGTTCAGTCAAACTCCTTTGTTCACATATATTTCCTAAATTGTTCTTCCATGGTATAGTTCCTCGTGAGTTGTGTGTTAAAGTGGTTTCTGGGTCATACTCCGCTTTTACTCTTGTATTATCATGTGAATACCCTATGATGTCAGCATATATTCCATATCCACCTGGAACATTTAATAAACAGTAGATAAACATTCCATCTATCATTTTTGTATCTTATGACTGTTCCTACCCTTTATCAGAAATTACTTGCGACACTCTTCAGAAAATATATTTGATCTATTTATGTACCATGAATCACAAAGTTCATATTTCAAAAATGTAAGAAATCTCTTAAGGTTACACTATTTATGTAGAAATGTTAAATATTTTTATTAAGATGATGCTGAACCTTATTATTAAAGTTGCAAGGCAGCTAAGGGAATATAGCCATTAAAAGGGCTGGTATATTAAGCACTGGTATCATTTCAAGGGACTTCGGGTGACAAGTTGGATGCTGTCACAATTGGTCACCGTGTTAATTCTTAACTCAACATGAATACACAGTGGGCAAAAAAATTAATGCCCAAAATCAGCAACACTGAGGAGAAGGGTGACCCAACTTGGCTAATGTGACAGCTACTGGCCTTGGTAAATAAGTAAATAAGTCACTGAAATAATTATGGGAATTATTACAGATACAACAAACAAAAATACCAAAAAGAATAAAACCTTTAGGAAGGCCAAGAAGCTAATAAGTATTGACATTTTATATGGAGGCTTGCATACACAAATTGTCATTTTCTAGAAACAGATAAAAGTTATTCTTCTAGGCCCAGCTTAACACATCTGTTGGGTGAATTAAGACATCAAATACAGTGTACAAAAAATCAGTATGTTGTAAATATCTTCAGTTTAAACGTCCAGTAATCTTTTGAATAAGTCTTATCACTGGGGTCTAAAAATACACAAGAGTCATATGTTCATGTAATATTTTTTATTTCAACTGTAACAGTAAAATCCAACCTGAGATAAAAAATCTAAAATTGCAGGATCATAATAAAGACCAAACTGTAAAAGAACAAGATTTTAGCACCAACAATATTTACATTTAAAAGTTCATAGAGGCACTTTTCAGATAAATCCACTGAACTCTCTACAGTTTTTCCATAACACTGTCCCTACAGAAATTCGTGTTTCTGCTATCCCAATGTGATTTGGCAAAATTGGGTGTCATTCACAAAATTCCTGTCGCAAAAAAAGCAAGAAAATTGAAGTTTTTTACTGGAGTCGATGCACAAGATCGCAAAAACAAAACATTTCATTACCTTCTTGAATGCTCTTTTTGCAAATTTTTGCAATATCCTTAGGTTTTAAATAGCAAAATCCACAATCTTATTAGCAATATTTTGAAAAAAGGCAAAATTCTGAAGGGACAGATTACATAGTAATGTTAAGCGCTTTATCAATATGATAAAAATGAGTGTTCCTATAATGATTTTCTAATAGAAACTTTCTATTATATGCCTTTTCACACAAGTTACATTGAAATGGTCTCTCGCCAGTATGGATCATGAGATGGCGCGTCAAATCTCCCTTTTTCGAGAATCTTTTCAAGCACATCTGGCATACATGCTTCTTCAAATTAATACTATCATCATGTTCTGGTTTATTTTGTAGTAAACTGCCATATAAAGAGTTTCTATTTCCATCACTATATAAGGAGGTTCTATTTCCATCTCCATATAAGGAGTTTTCATCCCTGAATGATTGTCCAGCTTCATATATTGACTTTCCTTGTCTCATATCATCATTCTGGGAATTTTCCAAAGCATTAGCCTTATTAGGTCCTCTTACTGTCTTATTTATGTGATTTGTATCTTCTGACTGGTTTCCTGAAAAATAAATGACAAGCATGCCTTTTAATCCAATAGAGTAACAGAGGATAGGAATAAAACAGAGTGAACAATCCCTTTAAAGTAATCCACCTAGTTGCAAATGTGTAAATCTGTGTACGATGTGTAAGACTGGTTACAAATATTGCCAAAAATCTGAAAACTGGTACAGTGTGGGTCTTAGGATTTTTCTGGCACTTGACAAGTGGCAATTGACAATGAAAAGTTACACTCGCCACAGTGTTGCCACTGATGATAAATTATATGTATACTCAAAGTTTTCTTGTGAATACAAATCTTTAAAAAGAAAGTACTATGTTTATGCAAGTATTTAAAATTGAATTTGTTCTATAAAATTCAACAATGGCGAATTTCATATTTTTCATGTTAGACAATGTGGCAAGGCACTTCAATTTACACTTGACTCTAATTATTTACATCTGCCTGGGGCTACTGTTGAGTGGATATGACCCACACTGTGGTAGCATATAATGCCCAAGATATGAAGATTCTGATAAGCAGATTTTGCCTAAAAACATAAAGCCTGTATTCATGGTATGGGTAAAATCTAAAGACTGCAAGCCAATATTGTCAAAAAGAATTTAGCCTAAAATGTAAAATCAGATTATATATTTGCCTAAAATGTGAAAACTGATAAGATATTTTGTCTAAAATGTGATAAGTGATAACATAGTTCACCTAAAATGTGAAAACTAATAAAATTGTTCACCTAAAATGTGAAAAGTGATAGCAGTGATCTCTCCAGCATTAAAGCAAGTGGGCGCAGCACCCACCTGAGTTTTTCAAAACAGGCTTGCACCCACCTGAAAATCCATTTGCACCCACTTGAAAATGTGAAAAATCATGAAAAATCAGTATATATTTAGACCAATTTTTGTCTGAATCGTGAAAATTAGAATTTTGCACCCACTTGAAAAAAGTCCTGTGGAGAACACTGGATAGTATACTTAAAATGTGAAAATGGGTAACATACAATAGTGTAGAACCTATCACAATATAACAATATGTCAAAACTTCTAAGTGATGACATAATTATATCCAAAGGGTAACAAGGACTAGATATGAGTTCAGACAAAGATTTGCAAACTTGCCAAATTTTACAATTTATTTCTCTCATCATTCCATGTTATGCTTTTTTCTTAACCTCAAATAGTCTTTCTTGGCTTTATTTTGGGATATTTTACAATTTCTATGGTTATCAGTGGCAAATAAATTGAAAAGATGGACATCCCAATTTCCAATCCAAATGAAATCCTCAGTCAATTTTGAGAAAAATTACAGTACAGTACTGTTTAAGTACATGTTAACATAATTTACAGTAGTCCACCAGTATAGCTCAGTGGTAGCACAGGTACCTCTTACACAATAGGTCCCGGATTCGATCCCCGGTTCAGGCAATATTTAATTTGCTTGTTTGCGAAAAGTACTTCGGGGTGTTTGACTGAGTGGTCCACATCTCGTACAAAAGGCCGTGGTGTGTACTTGTATGTCTATGTATGGGTGCACATAAAAGAACACAGGGCTCCTTTGGGGAGGGGTTTCTGGGTCTATCTTCCAGGCTAATTACGTTAATTACAACCTTATATATATGGGATATACCCAAAATGTATTGCTCACCTTCATTACTGGTAAACAGTATACAATACAATACAAAAGAAGTACTGTATGGTAACATGTTAAAACGGTACTGTACAGCCCTGTTAGAGATTGGCTGTAGCCTATAGGATTAAACCAAAGTCTACATGTTCATTGATAGTGATCTGATAATTCCAAAGACTGAATTAAGTTCTAAGAAATTAATTAAGATCAATTAAGTTTTTTATTCAACTCTATTAGATATAATACAATAAATGACAACATTGCAACAACCTTTAAAGACTATTTGGTCTTAACTACAAATCCCGTTTCAATAACTACAGTGCCCTCATAACTATTAAGCCCTTTAATGACTATAATGCCTTATTTAGAAGCACTTTTATTGATAAACTATAGACCCCTTTATTAACTACAGTGTAGCAGTGAATGTAGAACTTAGTGACCATGTATACCATTTCTATCTGGATGAGAGTCTATTCTCTTTAAACATTGGGTATGTTGGCTAGCCAAAAAAAGGCATGCATGATAGTATAATAATAAAATAAAATTATAAATAAAATATTCAGTTATATTCATTAATCTTCATTACCAACACCACAAGCAGGATTATGCTTAAACATTTCATTGTCTTTTTACATCACATTTTGCATGAGATAAAATTGAATCTATAGTTTTGTTATGACGCCCCTTTATAAAATATATGTACATATGCACATTGCAATCCTTCACTCCTCTTCATTATGCTTTAGGATTCCTTCCATTGTTACTTTGTGTACTGTTCACATTTTCATAGCAATTTCCTTTTTATTTCAGTTCATTTTTCACATTGTGTCATCAATTTCCTTCTTCACAACATCAGTTTCAACGGAATCATCAAGATGAGAGGATTCCAGCTCTATTTTAAGTGGAATTTCCATTGATGTATTTTGCTGTAAATATGGCTCCATCAAATATTCAGTATTATTCATTGCAGTGTTGTTGTTTTCACTGCTATATTCTTCAAAGTGAGTGCTGCCTTCATTTAGATGAACACGACTATGTTTTTGCAAGCTACACTTTCTACTGAATGTTTTACTGCATATTTCACATTGATAGGGCTTCTCGCCAGTATGTATCCTTGAGTGGCGTTTAAGATCATAGTTCCTCGAGAATCCTTTGTGACACAGGGGACAAATATGTTTCTTTTCTTCCGACCATCTTTGAACAGGATATATGCCACCTGTAAAACACGATGTACAGTCAGAGTTAGGTTTCCTCTACTTGTATCTATAATATGTGCGCTCAGTTACATTAAGTTATGTCTCTATAAGCAGTATACTCAGACTTATTAGTAGTCGAGTCTCCCATACTTGTCTCTATAAGCATGTACACTCACTCTTATTAGTAGTCGAGTCTCCCTTACTTGTTTTCATAAGCATGTACACTCAGTCTTATTAGTAGAAGAGTCTCCCTTACTTGTCTCTATAAGCATGTACACTCAGTCTTATTAGTAGTCGAGTCTCCCTTACTTGTCTCTATAAGCATGTACACTCAGTCTTATTAGTAGTCGAGTCTTCCTTACTTGTCTCTATAAACATGTACACTCAGTCTTATTAGTAGTCGAGTTTCCATAATGCTTGTCTCTATTAGCATGTACACTCAGACTTATTGGTAGTTGGGTCTCCCTTATTTGTCCCCTTAAGCATGTACACTCAACTTATTAGTAGTTGGGTCTCCCTTACTTGTTTATTTACATATGTATACTCATTTACTACGATTTGTGTCTCTATAAGTATGTACACTTAGATTTATTAGAAGTTTAGCCTCCCTTACTTGTCTATTTAAGTATAAAGTTTAACGCTCAGTTACTGTAATTTATGTCTCCATAAGCATCTCCACTCAGACGTATTAGTTATTAGGTTGAAGTGGAACACATTGCCATAAGAAACAAGGCCTGGATCTCCCAGGACTGTAGTAACTAACTAAGGCATTGCCCAAAGCTGATAATTTCAAATTTCAATCACCCAGTAAAAAAAATCTAACATTCAGTTGCAGGGGTTTCATTAGCGGCAGGCAACAGGCGATTTTCACCGGTTGTTTTCACAAAAGCGCCTGTTGTTTTAAGTTTCCCATGTTAAAATTATGATTTCTATTCATTTTGCCCATTGTTTTCATTTATTTAGCCTGATGTGAGAAATTCTAGTGAAACCTCTGAGTTGGGAATTAAATAAATGAAGATTGAACAAGTACTACCACAACTGTTTATGTATTCCTATTCTAAATCAGAAGGTTTTCTGTCTATCAAGTTGGGGAATCTGAAGGACAGTCAGCTTAAAGCTCAACATAGATGAAATTCACTTGATAATTTTTCAGAATTTGCAAGACTGCTTTCTTTGACCTAAGTTCCTACAATACTCAGCTTCCCTGGGGATAATACCATGTTCTATTTTTATCAATAAAATAGTGAATCCTTTAAAGAGGAACCCCTCTGTTAGTGGACCACTTTTTAGTGTCCTAAAACCAACTGACTTATTGTTAAAAAATGAACCTTTATAAGTGGAAGTAGAAAACATTTTAGAGGTACCAAAAGTGTTCCAGTTAGGCAGGTTTTACTGTATAACAATAAGAAGTGATGGGCTGTATGAACAATCACATCTCCCAGTTTTTTGCAAATTCGAATGATGTTCTGCGAGTGAAATTACTTAATTCTGCAAAGACTAAAAAGGCAAATTCTAAGTTCCACTGAATTTTTTGGTGTTTTTAAAAATAATATGGATTGTTGATGTTTTCCATTTTTACTTCTGTCATTTAAATTCTCATAAACTGCATTGTTATAATGATTTCCTCTTTTGTATTGCTTTTCTGTTTTATTGTTACACGTTGTGAGTGACCATTACTATGGTGTAATTAGCAGCTCCCAGTGGTGTCAAACCACATGTCATGGTGTCAGGCCATTAATGACATATTGTCAGAAAATATGTCAGTCCTCCCTGCAAGTGTCAACTGAAAGTGTGGTTATTTGTTTTAAATAGCCCTGCAACTACTTTTTTAAAGGTGATTACTTAAATGACCTGTAGAAAGAAAGGGTTCAAATGTCAGTGAGTAAGGAAACCTGCTTTTAAAAAGTAAACCACAACCAAGGAACTTTTCATACAATCTTTAGCCATGTCACATAAACTTGACCTCATTTGTGTAAACGTGAGAAATTTTTTTCACCAAGAGCTGAATAAATATACATAGTAATTTTCTGGTCAGTAATGCAATATAAAACATTTTTAAGCTTATAACTACATTTTCTTTAAACTATGATGAGCTAATAAATGAAACAATCAAAAACATAATGATGAAATATGTTGAGTTAATTTGGTGCGTGCCATTATAAGTTTTGCAATATATCAGATTTTTGACATGCTGGCTATATACTTGGCAGATTTGGGAGAAACTTGATTTCTCTTTTTTCAATTCAGACCATACATGTATTTAGAATTTGAATATATTCACGGAGTACTACAATTTCCATTGTCACTGACTTTGATACTAGCCACCAAACCATCATTATGAGGCTAAAAATACCAATGGCTTTGTTTTTCTTTGCTAATTTATATAAGGCATGATTTCTTAAAATTATTTCACATGAAGACTAACTCCATGATACACAAAAATAACAAATTCCAGGGATTTATTTTCATTAATTTTAAGTAAGATGTAAATCGGCAAATTTTTCTCAAGTTGCCAAAATCGCAAAATAAGCGAGCACCAAATTAACCCAAGTTGACGTATAAAGCTTGTCAAGTGTTACAACATATATACCTACAATTACAAGACAAGTCTCCAACTACAAATATTGTTTTAGAGCCTTACTATTTTAATTCCAATAGTTATTGATAGTAAACACAGAATGTGAGTTTATTTTTTTTGTTTTTTGTTAATTTACTTTTTGGAAGTATTTTCTGACTTTTTATCTAGATTAGGAATTAATAGTTGCTAACAAGAAAGACAACTCCAAGAAGGAGCAAATCCTAATGAACAAAATTGCATTTCAATTCTGTATTTTTAAGTCTAACTTTATGGAATGTAAATGTATATGTACCAAAAAGTTCAAACAGAAATTTGTTTCAATGAAAAACCTAAAATATTCATAAAATTTTTAATTTTTTGAAGCAGCAGCATTTCGCCAAGAGAATTCCTAGGGTTATTCCCAGAAGATTTAATATCACTTGGTCTCTAACAAACTTTGTTCATTCTTCCATAAATATCTATCTAAATACACAATAAATCTGGAGTACATGTCAAAGCCAAATTCAAAACAAAATAAAGAACAACAAAACATCAGCAGATTTTTAGTCCAGCTTTGAAAAAGTGCAGCCTTCAAATATTAAACTTATTTTGTGGCTTTTCAAGCTTGACCAGGCCGATTGACATCATCTATCAAAAGATTGCCAATATGCGACAATTCCAATAAGTTTATTTACATTAAAAATCTGGATGTGACATGATTCTTGAATGGATCACTTTATCCCATACTTGTGTTTGTTATAACCCAGCTATTGAAACAACGAGTAAGAAAAAAATGTCTACATAGTCGAGTCAAAAAATCCTGGCATGATCAATGTATAAACAGTTAGGTTTCAAAAAACAAGCTCAACTTTGAAAAATACAACCAAAGTGCAAGATTTTAAAAAGAAATTTGGGGTTATAAAAACCCTAATAACCTGTCAAGCAAAACCATTCTAGATGAGGAAGTAAGTTCAACAACATAAATTAAATACGAAAAAAAAATAATGTGAAAAAATAAAGACAAAATTTTTGACAAAATAAGTGCAAAGGCTCACAGTACATTAATTGGATTCTCTGTCCTCTGTTCACATTATCACAAACACAAATATGGGTGACCCTGAGTTTCAAAAGAAATTAAACTCACCTTTCTTTGAATCTAGAATGCCTCCTGGGACCTGTTTACTTGCTGCCATATCATTCATGCTTGTATTCATGCTAATGTCTTGTTCATACATATCATCCCCCATCCAACTATTTCCTGTGGTATATGACTCCTGATCCTCTGCCCCACCAAACTCTTCTTCGTCTTCCCCTATTTCAATCGTTATCGGTTCATCTTTCTCAATTTTGATGTGTTTTTCAGGGATAGGTTTTAAGGTGGTTTCTTTGGTATCTAAGGCTGGTCGTTTACCAAGAATTTGTTTATCATTACCAGGTGGTTCAGCTGAAATCATAAATAAAGACTACGATACTGATGAATTAGTCACGGTGTACAATTAATACAGTAGATTGTTCAAATTTTCCAGCATTAAATTAGAGCAAGTGGTCACGGCACCCAGCTGACATTTTAATCACAGGCTCGCAGTACGCAACACCACCTGAGAATTCATAAAATCATGAAAAATAGAAATGTTCACTAAATTGTGAGACGAAGAATTTTATGCCCACTTGAGAAAAAATCTGGGGGAGAACATTGTGTTTTCTAGGAGAACATTTAATTTGTCCTACAATACTGAGATTTGTAAAATTTACGTGCAGTGTGCTAGTGATATAATTCATACCTTTGACTATATCCTGAGCATCATAGGGTAGTTTACCACCAGGAGCATGAAGAGTGGCTGAAGGGGGGCCTGGGCTATAGGTACTCGACGTAAGAGTAGGCATTCTTACAGCCGTTTCTGTTATTTTTGCAGATGTACTCTTAACAGGAGCATGTGTCTGGGGTGAGAGATATGGTTTTTGAAACTGTTGTTTCTCCTTTGAAAAATGTTCTGAAAATTGCGTCCTAGGCATCGGCAGTTCAGTATTCTCCCATTGATCCATCAGGGGTGTGCGATCGTTCTGTTGGTTAACAATAGTCCTGTGCATTTTGACAACAATTTCATCATCCTGAGGGCCAGTGTTGATACATATGATTCCATCTATTTCAAGGGTGGCAGAGAATGTTAAATTCTGAGTGCACAGTTTAAGCACAGAGTCTTGTATGAGCTTGGTTAGCATTAGTTTTGTTGAACCCATTGTTGCTGATATTCTTGTGGTTGTTTCTATCTTCTAATTCTTATGTTTACAAAAAATCTGAAAGTAAAATAATATTTCTGTCTACAGTTAGTGCATGTTATTATCATGTATTATATATTCGAGAAAACCGGAACCAGAAAAAAAACAAATCTCGCTCTGATTGATGTTGATCCATTTGAAAAACATCAATATTTTTTACGAAAAAGATTCCGCATTTGTAGTTTTAAATAATATAATATGAAGGAAATTCTGTTCACTGTGTATTGTGCTTTTGCTCAATGGTTGATGGCTTGACGCAATAAAGTATATGAGCTGCTAGGTTGAATGTTTACTTACTTCTGGAAGGTGATTAGCCTTGCCCAAGTCGGTATTTTTTTACTTATCTGATCTTGAATTATTACCGCCTTGTACAATCCAATACACCTGCGCTGATATTATGCAGAGTTATTCAACGGTTTCGAGATTTCCATAATACCTACGCTATCAGGGGTATCGCGAAACCTTATTGATTAACAGATATACGCGTGGACACGACGTGTGACTTCAGGCTAATTGACCAATCAAAACGTTATCAGGTTGACCTGCATACGTGTAAGCAAAGCAATCTTCCCGATTTGAAATTCAATGATCTGATCGATCGTTTCTTTAGAGTTACAATATATTATGTAATTAAATGTACTTAGTGAATGTAAGAGTCATTAATATAAATTAAATCATGCAATAGATTTAAAACTAATTTCGCGATGAAAATGCAAGACCGAGTCCAATCATGTAGTCGATCAGTGATTGAATCTCAGCCTACATGTTCATTTGAAATCAGCGATCGTTTCAACGTTTATTGTTGAAATCTTCTCACCTCCGGTTACCGATCGATGCTCCGGCATCCACTAAACTCTGATTGATATTTATCTGATAAAATATTTGTATTTTCATGATGAATTCAAGCAAGATTTGTTCGTGAAAAGTTCCGGCGAAAAGTAAAAAGTGTACTTGTTTTTGACCATGCATAATAATGAGCTAACGCTGCAGGGCCGTCGTTGATTGGTCAAATTTTACCGACATAAACATTGAGTCGGTAAAGCACGTGGCTTTCTCTTTGGTACAAGGCGGTCATAATAGAAATCAAGATAGTAAAAGAGACCGACTTGGGCAAGGCTAGAAGGTGATTAACAGTATCATTATTTAGCTAACTCTTATTTTTCACGATCAAAGTAGTCAGAAAATTCAAGTGGAACATTGTAAATTTTGTGGTATGAGGAAAGTAGTTCTACTAAAAACCTGTTTGAGGATATGGTACTCTACAGCACCATGTTAGGATGGAATACTCTAATTTGCAGACATATAATGCCCAGAATAAATCATGGGAAACATGTGATCATAACAGTGAATGGTAAAATATTTGGGATTATTTTCTGCGGATGGATGAGCTTGGTAGTGGTGAATTGGTCAAGACTTAATGTACATAAATATGATGACGTTTTGGTACTCCAACTATGTAGGAGACCATCGATTTATGTCAACGTTTTTTTCGAAACTTACTTGGACATAAAATTTTACATGTCAAAGAAGGTTTCGCAAGAAACGTTGACTCAAGTCTGTGTGAGAGCAGAACTTTTGATTTTCGCACGGACATCTGCCAGATTACCTCCTCCGTGTCTAGGCTCAATAAATATACTCAAGGACAAGACACGCAATCTTCGGAAAATTTATTTTTCCTTGATTTTGGAGTTTTTCAATAAATATCACATGTCATACCTCAAACGATGTGTACTGTTGTTAGCTTCAACTCCAATCACTAAAGCCATACATAAAGAAGAGATTACAGGGTAAATATTGATCAATCATTGTCTGACAGATGGAAAAAATAAAGATCAGTACGAGGGTCATATTTTTGGGTGGTCATTTTTCCGGATCTGTGGATTTTCGTGGGATATTTTTGTTGACATGAACCACGGACGTCGAGTAAGTTTCTGGCGAAAGCAAGAGGACTGGAAACAAGATGGCAGTCTATTTCAATTCTGCCAACTCGTGTTGGCCTATTTATCACTATTGACTCAGTGGTTCATCTAGTTTTTTTTAGATGCTTATAGTAATCTATTTAGTATAATATTGTTTCCAAAATTATTGTCATTTGTGATAATTAGTTCTAAAAGTACTTTGAACAGGTCAGCTGCCATTTGCTTGGCTGAACCGTCCAGTCCACAAAAACAGTGAAATCATATTAAAAATACCAATAAAACTTTAAAATTGAGGCAGATGCGATACAAAGAGACTCTATTAATACAGATATACAGGTTACAGTCACCAAGATGAGCTAATTTCAGGCGGGATTCGGGAAATAAAAAGGTAGGTCATTCTTGTTTCCAGTCCTCTTAAATAATCTATGCTCCGGCTTTCGCCAGAAACTTACTTGACGTCCGTGACATGAACAAGATGTTTTGCTTTTCTAAGAAATTCTTTGAAAATCGATGGGCTGCGATTTGAGAAATTCTTATTTGAACTTTGTCAATTAACATGCATCTCAATGGTACAAAAAGAAAGGAGAGTTCCTATAAGGAGGAAATCCCGGGGAGAAATGTCGATGTCGTCGCATGCGAAATTTGGAATTTAGCACCCGACTTCAACGATATGTGATGCAGTCGTGAAACGTATAACGAGTTAACACAATTGCAAATTACCTTCCTTGTGATGCCACAGATTATTCTTCATCTACAAATAACGATTTGAACATCTAATTAACTTGCATTTTGAGAATTAACTTACTAAAATTCCGAAAATCGGCCAACTTTTGTCTAAACTTTCTCGTCTTTATTTTGAAGAGCCTACACGATGCTCTGAAACTGCGATCGTGAAAAAACAAGCTGTTCGCTTTTGGCCTAATTAAATACATTGCATGCGCTACGCCGGGGGGACTCGACATTGTATCAAATGTAAAATAAATCGATTTTATGTATTCTGCACCGTTTTTAGGTCTAGTAAAGAGGGTTGCCAATTATTTAATAGCAATTTGGGCCCAGAATTTTTGTGGCTTCAATTAGTGGGTCATTACCACGGACATCTAATACGTTCTTCGAATTGCCCTGGAACTATATCAATAACATTCAAAGTGTTTGAAATCCCAGAATTTTCGCCAGAAACATTCTCTCTGACTGTGGTCATTACTGGCTTTTATGGCCCTTTTCAAAAATGGGCCTGATTTGGATTTACTGGGGCCCAAAAGTTCAATTGATTTCAAATTTGGGCATCCCCATTGCTAACTTCTGGATCCGCCAATGCCATAATATGGATTGCCCTCCCACTAGCTGGACCATAGTGTTGGAAATACCAATACCTGACTGAATACGTACGAGGGGTGATCAATAAGTAATGGACGCTTTTTTACACAGATACTTTTTATGGACCAATCCCTTTGATTTTCATACCAGTGATAAATAATTCAATTATCTATCAATTTTGTAGATTTGAAGACAAAATATATAATACATGTTGATATATCCTTATTTCCGTGAAGGAGGTACATGTAACCCGGGACCGCCGCGACACTGATTTACTTCACATATTCAGTTTTTAGCCAGTTTGGCAAACTTCAGTTAGATTTAAACTTTTTTTATATGCAACAAGTGTTGTATTCTTTGAAATATATTTGCTGACTAGTAACACATAAACAGGTAAGTATTGTGATGTCAGAGTGTTGTATGGAAGGGGTTTGCAGGTCGATTTGTCAATTTGTGGGAGAAGGGGTTGGTGAAAGAAGGAAACACCCTACTCCATATGGACAATGTACCTGCCCACAGATCTCAAAATGTTCAGAAAACAATATCCCTGGACCTCAAAATTGAGCCCTTGGCCAATGCACCACTGATATTGTCAAGATCTGCCCACATGTGACTTATTTATCATCCTATACTACTGTACTTATTTCTATTGAGAAGGGACGCAGGCCCGGGGACAGAGGTTTATTGACATTGATGAAATAAAACAACCCGTGCAACTGCATCTTGCTATCATGACAGAGAATGGATTCAGCCTTGTCTCACAATATTGAGTTAAGAGGATGAAGAATTGTGATGTAGCACTTGATGGAACCTATGTAGAGGGCCCTGTAGAATAAATATGGCATGAATACCACATAATGATGTTAAAATATTCAAAATCAACTATCGCATAACAAAATGGGGTAATTTATGACCAAAATGGTTTGTTTGTTCAGCCTGCATTCAACTGCGTTGCATGTTCAACAAGCTAAAATAGCTTCAGAATGTTTGACGTCATGTCGGTCCCGGAGTACCTATACCCTCTTCACGGTAATAAAGATATATCAAAATATATTACATGTTTTGTTAATCTTCAGAGTTGATAGATAATCGAATGATGTATCACTGGTAAGAAAATCGAAGGGATTGGTCTATGAAAAGCATATGTGTAAAAAGCGTCCATTTCTTATTGATCACCCCTCGTATGTACATGATTGCCAGCACCAGCTGATTAAAAGAGCACGTCACGTGGGTCGAAACTTATTATATAAGGATACGTATATTATATACTTCATTACGTGAAATACAACGATACGATGATGGATCAGTTAGCTAAAGAGGAAATTCTCGGAAGCTCAGGAAATGGTATGGTATAGGATTGCATTAAACTATATCATTATATAATTTATAATGTTTACAAGTGTTAAAAACAGTAAAATGATTTTGATTTACAAATTTTCGTTTTATTTCTAAAACTTCTTCAGGTAAAGAAGAAGAAGAGGTCATACTACCTTAAGAAGTTATAGCAATAAAACGAAAATTTGTAAATCAAAATCATTTTACTATATTATATAATGTTATATTATATTTTTTATACAGTGATATTATGCAATGTAAGTTTGACAATTAATTTATTCTGTTGGATAATAAGTTTAGTCAAAATATAACAGTTCCATTGTAACCATGGCATAGACCCAATATCAGGCAGTGAATTATAAAATGCTATACTTGATAAAATATCTTATATTATATTATAGTAAAAGAATGCATTACTATTTTTTATTGTATCAATTAGGCTTCTTCTTGAAAGCCTTAAGGAAAATTGAAATGCTCTAAGATTAGCATTCTCCATGTACTTTCCTTATAGAGAAAACTCATGCTATCCATTGATTTCATTTTTGGTCATGGAACAATCTACTTATTAAACTTCATAATAAAATGTTGCCTTTTTAGTGAAAATTAAGTCAAAATTAAGTCAAAGTGTATTGGTAGGTCCATTTAATATCATTTAGTCTGATATTAATTATCCTTGACTTGGAGATAATGAATGGATCTAAAGGATACACTTGTTTTCATGACCAGAAAATATTCATAATACAAGATGTAATCGTCTGAAATTGTGCGACAACCTACGTGGATTTATTATCTCTCATTGACTAGTATTTATATAAAACCTTAAAATGTGTTCACAATGGGTTTTACTGTATTTCTTAGACTAAAGAAGAGGGACAAAGAAGTGGCTACATAGTATGTTAGCAACATATTATGTGTGACTCAAACTGACATTCCCTTAAATCAATAATCTCGACTTTTAATTCAATTTAACTGCTTATTTAATGTTTATTTAGGCGCTGTGACTTTCCTCTTGTTCCCATTGAAATAAATCCAAGTTAATTGTGGTACTGAAAAGAATTTCGTGATTGCACTTATTCCAGCTAATTTAGAAGATTAGTCCAACACTGGATTAGCTTAAGACTGTGTGTATCCTTTCTTAGTTTCTTATAATCATTTATTGGAAATTAAAGCTCTTAAAGATTTCTAATTATTACTGTACGGTCCAGAGATATCCAAGCCTTATGGAGTAGCACGTTTAAATTACCCTGCGCGCAGAGTCTAGTTAAACTGAAGACGAAGCTCTCTTTTAAGAAGTGAAGTCAAACGAATGCAAAGGGTACGTTTAAATGTGCCATAGGTATACTTCTTAGGAAATAGAATGAATTAGGTGTACAATTTAATTCTATTTCTGTAAATGAATATATCCACTGGCGGATCTGCGGGTGGAGAGCACAAGGGCCCCCCTCCCCCTTGGGTGGGCCCAGAAACCAGAAAAAATCCTGAGCCATTAAAGGCTTTAAGGCCCCCAAAAGTAGGCCTTTTTGGTCATAAATGGGCCTTCTAAGGCCTTATTTTTAATTGTAGGCCAAATTTTGAAGAAAATTGGTTTTAGGGGCCCAACATTTTTTTTATCTCTCAGGAGATAGCTTTGTGCAAACTAAGTAAGCTACGCATATGTACGTCTATAACAGTTTAATACATACACTCCCCTCCATAAGTTTGGCAACCTTTTTTTCTAAATTTTTTTCCTCAATTACAATATTGTAATTGAGAAAAAAAATTGAGAAAATTTGGAGGTATTGGAATTAAAGTCAAATTACGTTTCCATCAATAGTATAAGTATTTTCATCGCAGGTTAAGTAAATAAAAATTCAAAGGTAAAGAGGCTTTAACACGTAGTTCAATGGGGAAAAAGGTTGCCAAACTTATGGAGGGGAGTATATCAAAATATATCGAATATTCTTTTTAATTTTCAGCAGATACACACACTATGAATGCAACAGCAACCTCGGCCAAATACTGCTGTATCACCGCTACAGTCGTTCTCCTCTCCATGCTATTCATGCCGTTTTTTCTACTCTACTGCCTTCTATGCCCAGAATATTTCCGAGAGTATGCCCGGTTGCTTATTGCCATGAGTGCTGGAACAGCTGCCCTAGTTACCCCTTGGGTGAGTGGATATTTCAATTTATATGGCCCTATCGAATTTCAGAGGATTTTCAGTTTGGGAAACAGAAGTACTATTGAATGGCACGTTAATGCCCGTTTGTGTTTGGATGTTAAAGTTATATAATGCACCATCTAATAATGAAATGAGTATCTTAAGTCTAAGCATGCAAAGTTATTAAGCAAATCAATGGAAACTAGAGAGCATGCTGCAACAAATGAATCGTTGTCGCATTTGGATAATTTTCAGAATTTGGGTTGACAAGACAGATGACGGTGTATCATTATTGTTTTGGGTAAAAAGGTGTGAGTGTTGGGCTTGAGGTCTACATGGTACTCAAAAAATGTTTGGGGTAAAAAGGTGTGGGTGTTGTATTTTAGCAGTATAGCGCGCCTTTGGGGGTTTATAGGGTACCATTATTTGGCAAATTCTAGGCAAGGTGTGTCCAATATCAGCCAATCAGAACAAAGTAGTTACAGACCCTAGCTTGGGTGGGCAAACATTTTCTTAGCATTACTTTCGAGGAATAAGAAGCAAAAGGTTATTGATATTGAATAAAATATTCCACACATTAATTACACTGAACGTTCTGAAAATTGCTGAAAGTAAGGGTCATTGGGTCACTGAAACGCATCCAACTCTACCAATTTTTTATCAATATATGTTTTTGTGTGTATGAAAGATGAAATTTTGGATCCTTCCACCGCCTTGCCTGCAAAATACGGAGTGCCAATATACCAAAAAAAATTGTTTGGTTTTCAAGTCTCATTGTACTTCAATTTCCTCACTTGACAATGAATGAAAGCTAAAATACATTTTAACGTATACACGCACGCCCAACAGCCTACGCCTTTTTATCCAAACCATGGTCTCTCAACTAGATCATTATTCGTTCTTAAAAAAATAAAGTACAATCCAGAAGATCTTATTTTACATTATATAGTCCAGTTGGCTCCTTGTCTTTTTGAAATCATCAATGAAACTCAAAACGTTAAAGATACATTGACAAAGATACATTGACAACTTATACATTGATAACTTAAACATTGACAACTTATACCATTGACAACTTATACATTGATAACTTACATGTATACGTACATTGATGACTTATACATTGATAACTTATACATTGACTACTTATACATTGATAACTTATACATTGATAACTTATATATGAGTGTTCAAGGATACATTAGTCTTGCTCAAGCTGTGGACCCCCTCCCCTTATCTATTTTACTAACACAACACTTTGTGTAGCCTTGCCCAAGTCGGTCTCTTTTACTTATCTTGATTTCTATTACGACCGCCGGTAATAATTCAAGATCAGATAAGTAAAAAAATACCGACTTGGGCAAGGCTACACTTTGTGGGGATATGTGTAAATGGGGGGGAGCTCACATGGGCTTGTAGTTCGACTAGGAAATATAAGAGTGTATAATCAAATACATTACTGTTTTTTGTTACAGGATCCTAAGACAAGAAAGGTTTTAAACTTGGCGGATAACAATGACTCTATGTGTGGATCGTCATATACGCTTTATTCTGAAAGTACCGGCATAACAGCAAGCCCTCTGAACATTATACCAACTAATAAGGACATGAAGGATGGCGAAACATCATCCAGTGGCTATTCTTCAAACGAAGGACACTCAACCGGCCGGTCTAATGGATCGGCTAAGACAACGCATGAGGTGCTGAAAGTGGATGATAATAGAGATGCATTCGATGAATTTGAACGTGAACTTGATGCCATTGGTAATGACACCAATGGCACACGGACTCAAAGGGAATCGATCAGTGTTATCCAAATTTCATAACGATTCAGGCATGTAGCCAGGAGGTTCTTTCAGAGGCTTGCAGTTTTCACCATTCTGGGCACTTTTTCAAGTGATTTTTGGGCCAAAGTTGTCCAATGTAAACCGCCTAAATTTTGGGGGGAAAGTGACTTCCTCTTGGCAAAAACTGGCTACTTGTCTGATTAGATTAGATTAGTTTTTACATGATCATGTTTTGAATCAAAAGCCTCGGAGGCTGTAAACTGTAGATGAAACGCGACTCTTTAAAAGGGTTGTTTTTCTAGAAGGACGAAGGGTGACATTTTGGAGGTTAAGCTAAACGTTTCCGAGAGAACCTGTACGTGATATCATGAGCGCCGTAGAATTAAGGTCCACCTGGGATTAGTTCTCGGAGTGTTTATTTGCCCGATTGAGTATAAAGGTATAAGGAAAACAGTTCTCTTGAAAATAGTTCTCTTGAAAACATGTAGCTTAACGTCTCATGAATTGCAACTAAGAAATGATGAACCAGATTTATTTTGTGTTGTAGTCTATTTATTTACCTTTTTAATCGAAAGATAGTAGTTAGCCTAAATTTAATTTAGATGATGTCACATATGTAATAAATGACACTGATTTATAAAATACATCACGATATTCTAAATTTTGAACAAAGCTGCATTCGTTGGTATTGGTAAGATTTTTTAAATAGCAGTTTCGGAGTTTTATTTTAAAATAACATAAAAGAAAAATTGTATTTGCTCGGCTATTTTTAATGAAAATAGGCCGATATGTCTATTTCCATCTGAGCTATGTATAATAGTATCTAGCAAACTACCAATCAAAGCTGAAGTTAATTTTTGGAAATGTAAGACTTTTCTAAGAAAATATTGTTTTGAGTACCAGGAGCTACTTATGCTTTATTTGGTAGGCCGAAATAAGAAGCAAACACTGAACGACCAATAAGCCGGCGACACACGTATTTTACTACACAATCTTGAATGACCAGGAAGTAAGCTACATCTAAAGAATACAAAATATCAATTGTCACGATTAGTATATTGTCATTTAAATTTATATAAGCACCATCCATCATGGGAATTGTGTCATTTTCAAGTTGAGATTTATAATCAACTATAGCCTAAATGCGTTTGAAACCTTCGAAGCCAATGAGCGTTCATCTTTCTTGTGTGATTTTCGCAGAAGAATGATTTCCGCAATCTTGCATTGACATGTCAATGTTGCTGGCCGGGGTTACTGATACGTCTTCTTGGGATAAGACGGGTTTCCCCCTCCCCCTTAGCGACTTTGACTATCGGAGTTTTAATACACTGGGGCAGTGACATATTTCACATAGGCTGTATAAATAAAGCCAAAGGCCCAGAGGCGCAATGCGCCTAGTTGGGATTTGAACATACATGACATAAGCAATTATTTTCTGAAGAGTCCCAGTTCTAGCTGAGACCATCATCATTTCAAGTTATGTTCACAGGCTGGTATCGAAAGATTTGTCCGCTGTGACGGAGCATGCTATTTTTCATAAAAACACTGAGAATGCTTCACGATTTATTTTTTAACTCATATGCTTCGTTATATCAAATAAAATTACTTATTCCATGCAATGGATATATCATTTGCGGTTAACCGTCACTTCTGTTTGAAGTCCAATAACGCTAGGAGTAAAAGCTATTGAAAACGGCGCCAGAGTATCAAACTCTAAAATGTACCATTTCTTTTTAACTTTTTAATGGCATGATATTGTGACGCGATAATATTAACATATGTTTTCAGCATAACTCTGAATGTATTAATGAAATATTAATGCATTGGGTCTTTTTAATTTTTTTATAAAAAATAATGTTAATATTCTTTGTCCGCTGTGACGGAGCATTTTTTCTCATATGACTAACAAAGATACATCCATCTTTACCCCGGCCATGCAAGATATTGCCATCTTTCATCCTAAAAAGTCACACGTGCAAGATGAGATTTACTTGTGACATCACTGGTCTATAAACATCAACAACATGGCAACGGACACATCGTTGCTATGAGTATACATGCTAATTCTACAAAACTAAGCTGTGACGTCAGAACAATGGAGCTTTGTTGTCACGTTATTTATGTATTTTCTTCAATATTGTTATGACGTCACAACAATTGCAACATGAAGTTCAATTAATTTGAAGCTATTTTCACTCAGATTTATGATAAAATGGTGAAAATATGGCATAATGCAGAGTCATATGAGAAAAACTTTCTTGTACTCGTACCTGTGCAATATCGTCCATTCTTGACTCGCTTTGATAATGTTTCTTTATCTCGTCTTCGACTCGATAAAGAAGAATTATCAAAGCTCATAAAGAATGGACGATCTTGCACAGGTACTCATATAAGAACCTCTATATACAGTTCACATTTGCAACTGCTCCGTCACAGCGGACAGAAAAATTAAAAATTATTTTTTATAAAAGAATTAAAAAGACCAAATACATCAACATCTCATCTATACCTTCTTAGTTATGCTGAAACCATGTGTAAATATTATCGTGTCACTATATCGTGCCAATAGAAAGTTAAACAAGAAATGGTACATTTTGAAGTATGATACTCCGGCGCCATTTTCAATAGCTTTTCTTCCCAGCGTAATTGAACTTCAAACAGAAGTGAAAGTTACCCGCAAATTATATATCCATTGCATGGAGTAAGTAATTTTCTATGGTATAACGAAATATATGAGTTTAAAAATAAATCGTGAAGTATTCTTAGTGTTCTATGAAAAATAGCATGCTCCGTCACAGCGGACAAATATTTCGATACCAGCCCGTGATGTTAGTCTCAGGTTCTAGAAATTAAGTAATTTGTTCACGAATTTCAGAGAATTGAACTTGAGATCCGACAGTGGTCCACTTACCTGCAACCCAGAAACGTTACAAATGTTTGTTTTTTCATAAAGTTGTCCCTGCCAATACCCCGGGGTCGCTCCAAAGGGACCTGAAATCTGTACCGCGAACAGGGGCGGATCTGGGAACTAACAGGGGGGGGGGCAAATTTCTGGTCTGAGAAAAAAACCTCCGCGCTTGGCGGGAAAAAAATGTGGACCCCTAAAACCAAAAAGTGAGGCGCCCAGCTCATGGCTGGTCCTTGGGTTCTCCCAGCATGTAATTAAAAAATAGCGAACGGATATTTTGTCGTTCGGTTTTCCCATCGCGTACCAACTCGCACCCCATCTGGTGAGTAATATGAAAAACCCGGAAGTGATAAAAATGTTCACAAATGCAGCTACTACATTTCAATCTATAATCCTGCTTCACAACATTGTAACCTATGAATATATTCACCATTAAAGTGAGTATATCATTTAAATTAATTCATCTTGTTTAAATTATGTAACACTTTGAATTTGACAACTAAATAAAGCCAAAAGTGAGTTACCCTGCGTGCAGAGTCTAGTTAAACTACACTCTGCCTAGTAGAGACCATATTGCAGTTTAGTAGCCCCGCCCCCTGGACGAGTACCGGTGACAGTTTGGGTAATAAATCACTTCTGACCTACGTGCTGACCTTTCTAGAACCAATCAGCGAGCTCGAAGAAAAATACGCCAAATGCGTTCTAATTAAATATGCGCATGTCATTGGTCAATTCCGGGCACAACGATGACGTCAGAAGGAATGACCATATATAGAACGTCGGTCAAATTTGGCCGATGAACACTGATTGGCGCGGTGAGTTCACAGGGTTATTTTAGTTTGAAAGAGTGAAGACGAAGCTCTCTTTTAAGAAGTGAAGTCAAACGAATGCAAAGGGTAAAAGTGAGTGGAGGGGCAGACTTTTTTCCGTACAGTGACTCTGAGTGAGTGACAGTCTATTTTACTGCTTCAATCAGCGGCAAGCAGTTGGACCTGAAAAATAAGAAATCTAAAGACTTTTGAATATCGTGCAATAATGTATAAAAAAATATATTCAAATTGTACACGAATGACATTTATATATGTTTCAGATTATTTAGTCTTTGGTCATCGACTGATGTATGGTGCTCACCATAAATAAAGTGGGGAAAAAAATAAACCTCAACCATCAAAAGTTGTCACAATGAGCTAAATTCTAAGTTTCGTGTCTCAAACTCTCTCAAGAGGTAGAAAAATAATTCCCACTTTAGTAGCACAATAAATGAGTCCAAAGCTTCATACCTGCAAATGATGGATAAATCCCTACCAAATCGAACGAATGTTTTCATGAATCGCCATGTTTGTGATCCCAAGAGGATTGACTCCCAGAATGCAACATCAGTTAACTTTGCTCATGACAGGTTTCAAAATGGCGGAACGGCATTTTGAAAGCTGGCACTCTTCATGTTGCATTCTTGGAGCCAATCCTCTTTGCGGCATAATCAGGCTCCAAAATCACCTCAACATTTGAAGAATCGGCATTACATGTTCCCCACTGTAAATGACACCTGGATTTGCTGAAGTGAATATTTCCCATGTTAAAAAGAAGAGGGTTTTCAAGAGGCTATACATCAGTGGATGAGAGTATACAAAATGTAAAATAGCCTATACAAAACTTAAGGGATGTGTATCTAGACATTATTGAAAAGTATGAAGTCTCAAATCACCATGGTCTTGAAATGGTGATAGAAAATCCAGGTGTCATTTATTTATGGTGAGCACTTTAAATAATTCTGAAAACGTCATTCATTGCCAAAACTCTGACTGGATCTTACAGTCAACAAGAAACAGTCAAATGAGGCTAGTAGGTACAATTGCAGTTATAATTTTGAGTCATAGGATACTATAAGACTTTTGTGATATAGCTGTGCAAGTTCAAGTCACCAAGAAATACCTTCTTTTAAGGCCACTATATTGTGGCCAAAATATAGGGGCCTTCGTCCAAAGATAAATCCCTGCATGTTTTTTACTGCTGTATACGGGTCACGTCATTATCATAAAATTTGAAATCAAATGTTCGCCATTTTTCCACATCACAATTTGAATTGCGAGTTTTGGTCTTATTACCTCACCAAAAATTCCAAAACACACATGAAGTGATCAATGTATTAGTTCACATCTTCTCGATCGCTAACTTAGAATTAACAGTCAGTTTCTTATGTCAGACAATAACAACATTTCGTCCAGTTTTTGAATATCGCCATTTTTCTTGGAGCCATTTATTTTAATTTTAGATGAAATCCTGACGAAATCATGCAATATCTCATCAAGGAGCCCATCCAGTTCCATTCTAATTCATGATTTATTTATCTGGCGATTTTAAAAATGTTTACTAAAATTTTAAACACGACGGCCTTTTTTTTTTTAAATGCTTCACGGTGTTCCAGATGAAATTACTTCAAGCCAAGAGTAAACCAAGATGAGCTAATTAAGGCGAGAATAGGGAAATAAAAAACTTTTTTGGAATTCCCGTTTCCAACCCTGGTAAAATTATATGGTAGTAAGTTTCAAAAAAAATGTTGACTCGAGTCCGTAGTTCAGTTGCTTGCCTTTTGAAGCAGTGTAACAGACTGTAGTAGTACTAGTAGACTAAAACCCACATATGTTAGGGTGATATATTTGTTTACATAGGAAGTGCCATTCTAAACTCCAAGGGAGTAAATTAATTTGCATATTTGTTACTTCCCCTAGCTTTATTATCCCAACAAAGTTTGGTAGGGATATAGATCCAATGAAGCCGTTTGTCAGTCAGTCTGTCCATCCAGAAGATAACTTGAATACTAGGAAGCGGATTTTCTTTTATATTTGTTGGAAAGATGTAATATATTGGTAAATAGTTTTATTTAGAAATACATTCCATGTTTTTCATCCTGCCCCCAGGGGCCATGTACTGTGGGTTCGGAAAACAGGAATTTGAGAATTTTCTGAGTTTGATCGATTATACTCAAATGATAGGCAATTTTGAGTAGATTGTAATTGTACTATCATTTTTCTGATTCAGTCCTCGGGAAATTCAAAATTGCTGCTTAACGTGGGATTTTGCAATACTTTCTTGATCTCTTCAAGGTATGGGTATATTATACTGAAATTAGAGGAATTTTAGAGTAGATTACTAATTATAATTATGGTACTATTCCTGGAAATACTGATTGATAAATCTGATGCATGTCTAATAATTTGATCAATGGTAGAGTAGATTATAAATATTACATTCTGACATACAGATTAATGAATAGTGTTGGGATTTGCTGCTCCGTGGAGTTGCCGATTTCTAGTTTCCACTTGACGATATGCTACATGTTACTTTTTATAGCATTATAGCTTTGAATCGTACCTTACAACTAAATTGAATTGCTATAGCTATAGTCATGCCGGAATGACCTCCATTGACATTGGAACATGGAAATGCCAAGAAGTGAAATACCCGAAGTGAAATACCTGTACCGTCCAAACATTCTGTAGTGTCACTTTTGAGCTTAAGTGTGACCTTGACCTTTTGAACAGAGTTTGACTTTAGGCATGTAATGTACATTTGCTCTTTCAGCCTTGATTGTGTTCTTGATAGAGTTAAACATATCTGAGATCAAAAGAGCTTGAAAACTCTTGTATTGTTCATTGATATACTCTGATTCAGTGATGACACACTTCTACACTTATAACAAGCTGGTATATCAAACTTGTGATCTTGTGTTACATATACAGTGAAACATGTTAAGTGGAATGATTCTAGAAGTGAACACCTCTGTTAGTGGAACACTTTTCAGAGTCCTAGGAACAACTCACTGACTTAATGTTAGATGAACCTCTATAAATGGATCACTTCCCAAGTGGAACACTTTTTACCAAAGGTACCAAAGGTGTTCCACTTAGACTTGTTTTACTGTATTAATATTCAAATGCATAGGAGGCTTAAATTAAACATATCCCCATGTTCTCTTGAAAGCCCATGCCAAGTGAATGTTATAGCCACAGTCAAATATAAAAAATATAGGTTTTAGACTGATATAAAGATGGCAGCACTACATGTAGTGTTCCTCATATCAAAATGGATTGGTTTCCAGACCCCTCCAGAGGGATGCAACTCAATTTTCCAACAATGACTTACAACTGACTATAAATTAATAATCAGCAGTCCAAAAGATTCAAACCAATATCTCCATCACTTCTTTTGTGTAATCACGACATCCCCAAATATGGCAGAATCTTGAGTTGGAACCCTGGGAGCCAATCCTCCTTGCTCATATTAGAGGAGCTGAACATGATCCTACTGTCTGACTGTATTATTGTTTTCATTTATTTTCAGGACAATCTGATCAATAAATAAAAGACCATCTCATTATGGTTAAACAAGGAGATACATCCCATGATGATGTGGGTCCTGACAGGAGAGGGGAAAAGCCTCTTTGTGAGGTGACAGATGATATCAATATAGTTGACCGTGTTTCACTTTTCATCGACAAGCACCTACGGATTGTAAGATATAGCTCATATGTCATTGCAGGTGTCGGCTTAGTTTCTATTGCAAGAAGCCTTAGATTGTTTACAAAATTCACTGCAATCAGACAGATACCTGATCGCTTTATCCAAAAGCATGTTACATTGCGTGGAACTGTTACAGACATTCGCGGACATCTTCTCCTCATTGACCATATACCTATCTATCAAAAGCCCTTCTATAAGTGGTTTAATTCTTCCACATGTGCAGTGTCATCAAAATTGCTCCCTGTATCAATAGGTGGCACTAGTCTATACCCAGCTGGTGAAAAATGGCTTTCAGAAAAAATGAAGAATGAAACTATACAATTTAAACTACTAACTATATCAGGAGATGGACTAAATACTGATATTCAAAACTCCGAATCTGCAAGTCATAAAGGCATGAATGATGTGGTCCATTCTAACGGAGGAAGTAGAGATGCAACTTTTAACAACAGTGCAAACACCAAAGAACTATCCAAAGAGGTTCTTCATTGCATTGTTTGGTCCAGGAAGAACATATTTAGAAACATCTGTCTCAATGAGCATCTCATCCGGGAAGGATATGCCAAAGTTTGCCACATTGAAAATCTCCCGAATGATAAACTATACATCAAGTTTTCAGAAAGACTTCTAAAAATCGAGATAAACGCTGAAAAGAAAGGAAAGGGTGTGTGGAAGCAACCTCCATTGATTGAACGATATAAAGATTATGGTAGAAAGAAAATATTAACTTCCAAAGATTGGTTGCGAACCAAAATAAATGTCAAAGATTGGGTGCGAAAAAGATGGATGAATAAATGATGGCTTTCTCAGATACGTCAAAATTCAAAAGTGCGCTTTTTGCACAAAATCCATATTTCATTACATTGACCTATAATACTTAAAATGTACTATATTGATACCAGAGCATGTTTATTTGTGAACAGAATGTTAGTATTTACATGCTTTATCTAGTCAATGTTTTATGTAGAAAATTGTGAGCATTTTTACAACGTAATGTTTTTATTGTTGATGATAATTAACATGATTAAGGATGGATAATGTATGATAAGTTATCAAATAAAGAAATACAAGTTAAGATTCATGATTTGCCATTTTGAGTTATGCTGAGATCATAAACTCTTTCAACCCCACTGTGTATTATTAAACAACAATCTCAATTTTGAATTCAGTAGGTCTATTGCAATTCAACTATTTTATATCACTTCCTTCACAAAACATGAACAAGTGAGAGAAAATGTGTATATAGATCCATTTTGGGTTGAATTGACTTGAATTTAGCCTGCATTCAGAATGACCTCACAAATGTTAACATAGAGTAAAACCTTTGTATATGTGAACACCTTTCTAACCACAAAAATCTGTTCACTGTATGTAGGTGTTCACATAGAGAGGGGAATTTTACACAAATCTAAGTGGAGTATGTGCTGAGAAGGGATGTTCACTTAAAGGTGTTCGCTTAAGAGGTTCTACTGTTATTTATCTCTGGATCCTGGCGTCACAGCTTACTGTCACAGATAACTGCGGATATTCATTAAAAACCTGTTCATAGTTGTGTAATAATGCACAGTGAATAAGCTATCTAATTGGTCGAGAGTGCTCACTTATGGTTGAATCATAATTTGCTCTTAAAAACAACCACCACATTAAATGAATGATTATTATATTACACCACGATTAATGTGACACTCACTTCCATTTTCATTGCATGTATATAATCTGATAATGCAGCCTGTTTATTCAATAGTTAATACAACTGTTTTACATGGTTTATAATTTCTCTGTTTCCATTTTCATTCAATTGAATCACATGACGTGACTAGTGTCTGATTTTGTAATAAAATGACCATCATCTACAATGACGTGACTAGAGTCTAATATTGTAATAAAATGACCATAGTCTACAATGACGTGACTAGAGTCTAATATAGTAATTAAATGACCATAGTCTACAATGACGTGACTAGAGTCTAATATTGGAAGAAATCGACCATAGACAACTATGACATGATTAGAGTCTAATATTGTAATAAAATGACCATAGGCAACAATGACGTGACTAGAGTCTAATATTGTAATAAAATGGTCATAGTCTTCAATGACATGACAATAGTCTAATATTGTAATAAAATGGTCATAGTCTACAATGGCGTGACTATAATCTAATATTGTAATAAAATGACCTTATGCAACTTTGACGTGACTAGAGTCTAATATTGTAATAAAATGACCATAGGCAACTTTGACGTGACTAGAGTCTAATATTGTAATAAAATGACCATAGGCAACTATGATGTGACTAGAGTCTAATATTGTAATAAAATGACCATAGGCAACTTTGACGTGACTAGAGTCTAATATTGTAATAAAATGACCATAGGCAACAATGACGTGACTAGTCTAATATTGTAATAAAATGACCTTATGCAACAATGATGTGACTAGAGTCTAATATAGTAATAAAATGACCATAGGCAACAATGACGTGCCTAGTCTAATATTGTAATAAAATGACCATAGGCAACAATGATGTGACTAGAGTCTAATATTGTAATAAAATGACCTTATGCAACAATGATGTGACTAGAGTCTAATATTGTAATAAAATGACCTTATGCAACAATGATGTGACTAGAGTCTAATATTGTAATAAAATGACCATAAGCAACAATGATGTGACTAGAGTCTAATATTGTAATAAAATGACCTTATGCAACAATGACGTGACTAGTCTAATATTGTAATAAAATGACCATAGGCAACAATGATGTGACTAGAGTCTAATATTGTAATAAAATGACCTTATGCAACAATGATGTGACTAGAGTCTAATATTGTAATAAAATGACCATAGGCAACAATGACGTGACTAGTCTAATATTGTAATAAAATGACCATAGGCAACAATGATGTGACTAGAGTCTAATATTGTAATAAAATGACCTTATGCAACAATGATGTGACTAGAGTCTAATATTGTAATAAAATGACCTTATGCAACAATGATGTGACTAGAGTCTAATATTGTAATAAAATGACCATAAGCAACAATGATGTGACTAGAGTCTAATATTGTAATAAAATGACCTTATGCAACAATGACGTGACTAGAGTCAAATATTGTAATAAAATGACCATAGGCAACAATGATGTGACTAGAGTCAAATATTGTAATAAAATGACCATAGGCAACAATGACGTGACTAGAGTCTAATATTGCAATAAAATGGTCATAGTCTTCAATGACATGACAATAGTCTAATATTGTAATAAAATGACCATAGGCAACAATGACGTGACTGGAGTCTAATATTGCAATAAAATGGTCATAGTCTACAATGATGTGACAATAATCTAATATTGTAATAGATTGACCATCGTCTACAATGATGTGACTAGAGTCTAATATTGCAATAAAATGACCATCGTCTACAATGATGTGACTAGAGTCTAATATTGCAATAAAATGACCATAGGCAACAATGACATGACAATAGTCTAATATTGTAATAAAATGACCATAGGCAACAATGATGTGACTAGCGTCTAATATTGTAATAAAATGACCATAGGCAACAATGACGTGACTAGAGTCTAATATAGTAATAGAATAACCTTAGGCAACAATGACGTGACTAGCGTCTAATATAGTAATAAAATGATCATAGGCAACAATGACGTGACTAGAGTAACGAAAACTAATGATACGAAAATTAAAAATTGTTGATATATTATCTTCCGAGGAAGGAAGGAAATTCAAGATAGAAATTAGAAAGACTTTGTTGCCACTTGTCTGCAATTAAACTAGAAGAATGCGATAATATTTCCAGTCTCCAAAAATACAACGAGGCACCAATATTGCTTTATTTAAGTACTCCAATAATCTTCAAGTAAATATTTGGAATTCCTTTTTTCGGAAATGCTTAGTGGAAAAGTGACAATTTGGAGTACAATTTGGGATATGCGTTGCCTTGCGTTGACTTTCCATTAATACAGCAAAGAAAAATGCCAAACGTAATATTTTCAATAAACGTAAACGGGGAATCGATTTTATTCAATAATCGCACATCAACGGGATGTTATATTCCATGTTCACACGTTTCTTGCATCTTTATTTTGATATTAGAAATAAGCGTTTCTAGGCTGGATTTGGACGACTGGGATTCGCACGAATGGGATTCGGACCATTGGTATTCGGACGAATAAGGCGACCCCGTAAACTCCCAATGGGTATTCCATCTTAAGTAAATTTCAAAATAACACCCATGGACGTAGTCGCCAAATTTGACCAGTTATTCGGAAAAACATTTGGGACATTTTGTTAAGCCTCTATTCCTTAAGGACTAAAGAAGTACTAGTAAGTAAAGTAATGCCCAGCATTAAAGGTTAAAGCCCTTTTAGGCTAGATCCCTGTCGACTGTCGGCCGTCGACCCCTTTTGCCCAAATTAGTTATAATGCCATATGTACAAGAGTCCTATTTTACTTGAATAGACGGTTTCCTATCCTTTTACATCACGTTATTATTAAGTTATAAGTTCTCTTAAAATGTAGCTTTTAACATCGCTGTTGTATTTAACACCATGCGTATAAAATGAATAGAGCTCGAAAAAACATTCCTGATTTTTTAAGTTGTTCTCAAACTACGCCCTATCTTCAGATCTTCTGCCTATTCAGAGAGCAAATATTTATTTGTTATCTTAGAAAGCGCGAAACGTTGGCGTTTGTTTCTCGGGAAATGAAATGAATGATCACGGAAATGTTAGCAATATTGCTCAGCATATAGATAGACGCGGCTGTAAGTGACTCATCGTGTATTATTTTACACTTGTTGAATACAATGATTATAGATAAAATAAAGCAATATTTAATTTGCTTAGGAAATAATATTCATAGCGCATTATTATAATATTCCATGTTATTGCAATTGGTATCTATCGTGTTTAGCATGAATCGATGATGCTTCGACCGCTGAAGCTGTACAAATTCAGTGCACACGCCAATCGGTGACGCGTCTTTCCTTGTCAGTCGGGCTTTCGGATTTGTCAACAGCGGAAGCAGAACAAGTTCCCGTCCAGTTGAATTATGACATCATTTTCATGGTCGGGCCTTGGTAGACTGGGGAGGGCATATGCCTATTGCTTAGACTGCTTACCCTAGAATGCCTGCAGCTTATATTTTAAAAGAAGACACTTCTTCTTTGCCGACAGTGTCCTAGGCTTAGCATGGAAAACATTGGTAACCAGCAGATTTAGCAAGGAGGTCAAGTATAACGTAAGTGGAAAGGGAGCGGAGCGACTTCTGATTTGATTGATGATTGACTTTTGTGGTCTTGATCTGCAGCTACAACTATGGCCCGATTCGGTAAGTATATTATGTTATGAAAATGCGAAAATATATTTTTAGAATCGAAAGTGAATTATATTCAAGTAAGAAGACATCGCTTTTTCATGGAAATACACGCCAGCCATTTTGGTATGCCAATTTACTAACAATTGTTTCTTGGAATTAGTCCATTGCTTTTATTTCAATGGGAGTAAGAATAAAATAGAAATAACAGATATCGAGTAACGAGAGAGACTTTCGATCATGTTACAACGTAATTTATTAAGCCTGGCGCCAATGCTCTTCTTTGGTTTGATTTCCCCATTTTAGTGTCTCGATTTCATGACGAAGAGCTAGTATGAGATAACATAGTAATACCCGTATATCAAGTTAGATTATATATATTTTGAAACCATATAGATCATGTAGATATGCATATCCTGGATTGTAACAAATAACTCGATCTCTAAGATTAATTTTAAACTGAATTGACTGGGAAAATCATATTGATTTCGGAAATCGTATCGATTGGGAAAATCGTATCGATTGGGGAAATCGTATTGATTTCGGAAATAGCATTGATTTGGGAATATTGACTCTTAATGGTCGGGTCACCAGGAATTTTTCAGACGGATATTTTCAAGCTGAAAATAAAATTGACTAAAAACTCGTATTTGTATCGATTGGGGGAAGATTCAT